GGTAAAGAAGCGCTTATGGGGAGGCAACCCCACCTCGGTTTTCTTTTATTTCTTTTGTTTTGGGTCGGATTGCCAATAGCTTTGGCTTTGGTTTGTTTTCTTTTGTCTTGGATCATGTAATATTGGGCTGACCATTGGACCTAACGTATGTGTTTGAGCTTTTTGGTTTCTTTTAGCTCTGCCTGTGTTCCCGACTGGTCCTCTCTCCAGTCCGTTTCACGACGACTGGTCCCTGTCCAGTCTCCTGCAGTCCGTGCACACCGGTAACATCGTTCCCCTTTCCTTCCCTCTTCTCCATTGAGGGCAATGTCGATCTTAAGTGTGGGGGGGATGTTTATCTTTTGACTGCATTAGCTCTGTTTGTGTGCTTGGAGCCTAGTCCACTGTCCAAATTTTTAAATTTGAGGGCTCCAAGTACGTGTTCCTTGCAATTGCCTGCTCAGTATGCTTTGAATTGACAGTCTCTGTAGTGATTTGCAACCTAGGGAGGTAGTGTAGCACTATGGAGGATGTTGATGCATTTAAGAAGTCTCATTTCTTCTTCATATTGTGTTGGTTGATTGAGTGAATTAGTGATCTTAGGACCCTTGAATTGTGTGGTGTTGTGGACTCTCTGCCTGTCATGGACTCTTGTATCATGTTCTGAATGTAACAGGTGCTCGAAATGTGCTTTAAAATAACGTCTTTCGTGCGAATAGGGCGAAAGTGTGTAAGGGGAGACGGGAATCCGTTCCCAATTTCCACCTACTACCTCCAGCCCCCTTACATGCCTTTCCCCCGCACGAGGCTCGAGACACCCGCTCCTGGCATGGCCGGTAAGAGCCGGGCTCCCGCAAAACCTTTGCTAGGTGGGAGCCCCCGTTTTCTGCAGAAACAGGTTGGAACCCGAAAAAAAAAACGAGAAAAACAGAAAAACAAGCAAAAAGAAGAAAGAAAAGGGTTCCAACCATGTTCACAAAGAAAATCGAGCACCTTGAGTTAATGTGAGTCCATGATCTTTTGTTTGTGAGAGTCTCTTCATCCACGATTCATTTGTCCTCTGTTCACTATTTGCCATGATGCCGATTCGAGACTAGCGTTCTCGCCGAAGAGGCTATGAGATGACTTGTGCGTCGGTTGACATCGTAAGTTGCTAAATGATCTAGGAAGTCCTCTACCTACGATCGAGGTTGTTTGTTGCTATAGAGGTCTGGAGAGCTGCATTGGTTTGAGTTAGGTTTGCTTGGGGACAAGCAAACGGTTAAGTGTGGGGGAGTTTGATAGACCGATATTTACACATGTTTTCACCCCTTTTCTGAAGCCGTTTGAGATGTGGATCCTAGTGTTTTAAGCCGATTTCACGCTAGGGTGTGTGTTTATGTCATATTTCAGGTCCCGGCGTTGGAATCGAGGCGGAGATACAAGTTCTGGGTCGAAAGGAGCGAAGTTGTGTCGAAGGGGGCTGCAGGAGGAAAATACCCGGTCAGGTGGCAAAATACCCGACCGGGTATTTATCGTTTTCGGCACCCGTGAGAAACAGAGGGGGGCCCCGGCAAACGCCTAAAATCCCCGGTCGGGGATTATGAGGACAGACCGGGGATTTTCCCCTTTAATGAAACGGCGCGTTTGGACAATACCCGGTCGAACCCTTAAATACCCGACCGGGTATTTCGACCGGGTATCGCGAGGGCAGCTGATAAAAGAGAAAGAAGGCCAATTTTCAGAGGGTTCCGAGTTTTTGAGAGAGAAAGCGATACCTAGAGAGAGAAAGCAACGAACCAGAGTTCCCAAGCTCCATAGATCGATCTTCATCACCATTGGAGCCCGGTTTGAGCTTGGAGAAGTGTGATTAAACGTCCAGGAGCAGGAATCCATCTTCACAGTATGATTTCCGCGTCTGAATCTGCTTTTGCTTCTTTCTCTATGGAGTAGTTTCCCCATTCATCTGGGTATGGGGAACCCTAGATTTGTATGCTAGGTCTGATTGTATGAACCCAAGTACAGAGTTTGTGAATTGATTATATTCGATTGAGGTTTGCATGATTGAATGACTTGAATCCTGATCAAATTCCTGTTGTTTCTGCTTTGACCTGGAATGAGAATATCTGCCTAGGTTGATAGAGTACCCTTAATCGAAGGTGGCGAATTGGTGACTTTAGTCGAGGAGCCAATTCGCTATTCTGTACCGAAGTTAATTCGGTAGTGGAGGTTTGGTTCATTAGGGCCTCAATCTGTTTACTCCGGTGGAGGTTAGTCGCCCGCTAGAGACTCAGATTGAGAGGGTCTGGAGACCTTTAGTCGAGACTTCAGGCTAATTGAGAACCTTCCGCAGTATAACTTTCATGAAAACTGAACTTGGTAAATTGCAATCCGACTTAACTGCAGTCTAGGGGGAACCATATCCGGGTGACCTCTCTTGACTTGACAACAACTGTTTACTTGCTTTGTGTTTTGTTTGCTTGAGTTGCACTAAAAGTTCACCGCTAAATAACAAGAATTCACCGAGTAGTCATCACATCTAGGACCCGGGTTGACAATAAAACCCAAACCCGCTATACTACGCTTTAGGAAATGGTTGCACTTGGCCATTTTCTAGAGTGACAGTAGGAGTGAGTCACACAGCTGTAAGTGAGACGGCAAGATAGGCTGCTGATCGCCTGAAGACTCAACGGTTACCTTCGACGAGAACTTACCCCCCGATTCATCATCTGAACTCATGACTGGAAATCAATGGATCTCAGCACAGCTCTGATACCATGTAAAATAAGATAATACGCGGAAACGAAACAATCACACAAGACGAGATTTAACGTGGTTTCCCCGTTCGTAACTGAACGAGACTAGTCCACGGAGCTTGACGCTCAAAAGCAATTCACTAGGTTTTGTTCACCCTTGGCTTAGGGTTTTCTACCAGCAGCCGATACAATATATAGGTTCTGCCTTTCTCCTTTTCCAGCAACGTAGAGAGGCAAAATTACAATAGGATCCCTATACTAATGAGAAAGTATAAAAGGATCACAACAGAATCCTTTCCATCTTTGATCGAACCATACTGTGAATTTACTTGAGCAGCAAGGTTGTGGGATTGTGGTTAAAATAACTTGGTTATTCTTGAAGCGAGTTTTTATTCTAGCTTCGTATCATCTGTAAAACAATGTAAACTCTGCTTCCCTACAGTCTCAACCAAACCGTTAGACTTAACATAATTATCTCATGCCGGTACTATCTTGTCGGGCAGAGTAATAAGTTTAGCATTGTAGTTTTTCCTGCACTTAACTATTTGGACAATAGATTAACTTAGCCTCGTAAAGTTACTTGCCAAGTACCTAATGCAAACATCCAAACAGCTTTGCTAATGAGAAGTTTTTTCTCCCAACAGAGAAATAAGCCCAAGGGCTAATTCGGAAGATATTTATGTAGGTCTCACTAATTGTGAGTGATAACTGATAAGTACCCTTATTGTATTCTATTTAGGATTAAGTACTCTCTGAACCGAATTATACTCATATAATCAATTTTGATCCGTGATTTCAGAAATTGTTATCCTGACCTCAACTATACATCATATAGACTCAATTGGTCAGACGCGTGGTTTGATCATCTATTTGGACGGTCAATACCGTTGACCATTAGCCAACTGGCTAGGTCACTACCATGTCAGCACCAAATAAAAAAAAATCAAATTACAAATTTATTTTCTTATTTTCTTTATCTAATTAATAAATAATAAAACCCCAAAATTAGTTTTGGCCCCTTATTAGAATTGAGTGTCTCCCCTCTCTCACAAAACCCTATACACAAAAAACTATTCTTCTTCGGTGATCCGCCGCCACCATATCCCAAACGAAAAACGCAGCAGCGGCCGGTCCTCTCTCGCGCTCACCTTACTCTCCGACAAGGTTCCCTTTCCCTTTTGGTCCTCTCTCGCGCTCTCTTCTTCCTTTCTATCAGACTTAGACCCTTCCAGCAATAATGTCCAGGCGAGTTGGAAAAATCGCCAACCAATATTCATCCTCTTCTGGTTCGTCAAACACAAAGACAAAAAAGTTGCAAAGTCCACAAAGCTCCATGCGTTGTCAACACTTCTCGCATAGACGCCAATCTTAGAAGATTGTTTTATTCTTACCCGTTTTGGATGGATGAAAAGAATAACTGGTGTAGACACCACTTTTTGTCCGGGTTAAAACATATTTAACTAAATAAAATTTAATTTTTGTTTGGGATTTGCAATAGCAAATTTCTAGCTAAAACAAATTGTAGTGCTTGGGTTGGGTCTTGTTTGCCATAAGCCAATGAGATTAGCAATAGCAAATCTCAATTGATACAATCTATTCGTGACGAATTGATATGTTTAGATGAATTATACAATCTATTATGCTTAAGTTCGATGTTGGGTGTCATGCAAGTTAATTAATTCTTAAGATATTGGGTCTTGTGAGAATGGAATCGCAATTTCAAAACAATAAAATGTTAAGTCATAACAGTTTTATTAAAATAAATACAATGCTAAATAAGTAAAATTGTGATTACAATGCATAATAATTGTAAGTAATTATACTGCTAATTTGGTATTACATCACACTAATTACAAATCAATAAATGAATTTCGGTCCAAGTCAAAGTCAACCCTCAATCAAACCAGTCAACAAAGTCAAACCGGTCAGAGAACATGTCTGACAAAACCCATATCGGTCCGATCGAACTCAGACCGGTCCGACCCAAAACCATAACTACTACTGTTGCATACTTGCTCCCCAAGCAGCAATTTGCTATAAAAGAGAGCCCCTTGGCTCTTACAAGAAAGGAGAAAAAAGGTTTTTTTGGGAGAGGACGAACTGGACAATTCTTCTTCTTTTTCCCCACGAGCAAGGAAACCAAACCAAAAAGTTCCTTCTTCTTCTGGCTTCCTCTCTTCTTTCTTCTTCTTCTTCTTCTTCCCCACAGCTCTCCACTTTCTACAACACAAACAAAAAGAGACCAAAAAAAAAAAAAAACAAAGAGATGCTCGGTTCTTCTCCTTCTTCTTCTACATCTTTCAGACGATTTCCTTCCTTTTCCTCCTCCCCACGAGCAGCGAAAACCAAGGCTCTCTACATCCCTTTTCTTCTTCTCAGCTGGAAAACAACACACAGAAACACCCAAAAATTATTAGAAAAAAACATACTCTTCCCCTTCTTGCTAGGGTCGACATCACAAACAGATAGCAAAAAAAAGAAAGCACAGTGGAAAGAAAAAACCTCCATGCTACCTCCCTTTCAATAGACAACAGAACAAAAAGACTCCACTAACACTTCCTCTCCCATACAAACACAAAAAAAAAAATGTAAATTTCCCACCTCTCCTCTTCTTCTTTCTTTAGCGACGCACAAAACGCAACAACAACAAACACAAGAAGCAACTGTTGCAGGGAAAGTGGAGGGAAAACATCTCTATCCCTTCCCCAAATTATAAGCCGAAGGTTGGTAATCAACATTAAGCACCGTCATCCATGTACTTTCATCAAAGCATAAACAATATTTTTGCTTGTTCTGCCCTGTTTGTTTAAGTTTTACTGGTTTTGTTTCATCTTCTATGTAACTTTTAACATCTCAATCTATCGAGACACAAATTTAAAAAATGTTCGCAAGCAAACCAATAAAAAGCAATATTAAACCAAAGCTCAACTTTGTGCGGTATTTTAGAATACCTCTTTGATTTTGAAGGAGCCCCTTCTAATCTTGAAACCTACCTCACCAAAACCATACCCATTCAATAAGCCTAATCTCAAACCAAAACCATCAAACAAACTTTAACTCCCTAAATCGAAACCACAACCCACAACATACATATTTCCAGATTCAGATACACAAGCTACCATATTCAAGCCACCATAAAATAACATTAGAACTTCTTCCTTTTCCATATCCAAATTCCAAACGCGCAAGCTACCATAAAACACAACTACCCATTTCCAGATTTCAGCCGCCCAGCAAAAGCTAACACACAGAGGTATTCAGAGCTAGAGTTACCAACAATCAAATTAAAATAACCCCCAATGTCCCAAATCAAAGAACACTAACACTCACCATCATCATGCATTAGATATTCACATGTTAATACTTTTTGTTATTGTGAACCATTTAATCGAAATCCCAATCAATCCAAGTAATTTACAAGTTTCACCTTGAAATGATCAACAAATAGGCTTTATTGTTCTTTGTTAGACCCACCCTTCTGTTTACATCCATTACAGTTTATCAGGAGTTTCTGTTTATGTTGTCTATGCTTGTTTCTCCTTAATCTGTTTCGTTTAAGTAGTATATTACATGCATACCTAAGCTATAGTCAATGCACTATGCTATCCCAAAACAGATGTGGCCAACAAAAATAAAGAACACCAAAACACACATATTATAATCCAAAACACTCGCCATGAATCCCCAAGAATTCAGAGTCCCATTGATAACAAAATTTAAACAAAACTCACCACTCTACCCACCGGCAGCCTCTCCTTCCCCTCATATTTACACTAATTTCGTCTCTTCCCCTCAACTAAACTGCAAATCCAGAAAAATAATTAAAAAAAACCCAAATACAATCTTACCGAAGTAGTTTTTTTTACCTCATCCACGTCGCCATAGCCGCTGGTAAGACATAGGACTGCCGGCGGCGGCTCCGTTCTCCCCTTCTCATCCTCCATCAGAAACTCATAAAACAAACAAAAACGAAGAAATTATAACTCTAAATGCTGATTAAAATGTAAACCAAACAATAGGATAAAAAAAAAGAATGCAAAAACCCCAGACTTACCGTCGGGCCGGGTTTCTCCTGTTTCGTCATAATTGACGAGGGTTCCTCCGTCGGCGGCGGCTCCCCTTCCTCTCGCTTCACCTCGATCAGACCCAGAAAAATAGAAACCCAAAAAATACAATCAGAAATCGAAACAACCAAATCAGGCCCTCAAACCCGACATGCAAGCCAAAATTAACCTCCTACCTTTTCCCGCCGCCGCTATCCTCAACACCGGCGTAAATCACTGTCGCTCTCCTCTTCCTTTTCTACCCTTCTCCTCCTCGCTACCAGAATGGAAGAGAGAAGAAGAGGGAAGATCAGCACAGAGGAAGAACGGGAGGGATCGAGATGAGGAAGGTTTGGAAATCTAGGGGTCGTTTGGAAGTTGCGATTGTTAAATAGATGTATTGTTAAGAATGCATGTATAATATTATACATGTATTGTCGAATTCGATGCATTGTAGAATACAACGTTTGGTATGTGTGATTGTGTATGTCGCATTAGCTAAAAGCTGAGACAAAACAATCTCAACTCAACTATCTCAACAATCACAACTAAAAGTTGAGATATAACAATCATTCAAAATGAGTGATAGTTTCTGTCACATCACAGAAACAATCCATGTATTGTTTCTGCTAAAAAAACAAAAAAACGATGCATTGTAAACAATACATGCATAATGACAATCTCAACAAAACAATCGCAACTTCCAAACGACCCCAGAATATGAAGAGGCGAGGGAGATGGGATGGATTTCCTCTCCTTTCTTCGGGAGCGGATTAGGTGAGTAACTCTATGGTCAGTAACCACGAGTAACCTGTCCACATCAGCATGACATCAGTAGCCTCTCTTTCCTCCAGCGGGATCAGAAAAGGTTGTATTAAAGTTTCGATCGGTTAATAACATGGTAATTGCCCCTGCCAGTACCGGAAGTGATAATAAAAGTGGGAATGTTGTCACTAGAACGGACCACACAAATAGGGGTGATCTATGCATAGTCATTCCTGGTCCACGCTAGAAAGTCTTTTATCTTTTCCCCTTTAATCTTTAACGGACGATTTCTCTCTCGTTTTAAGTCAAAATTTTTTTTTTTTTGCACAGATAAATCAGATTAAATATGTTCTTCAAAATAATATCCACTTTGATATATTTTTAGTACAAAAAAATGAATAATTTTTTACCAGTCATTACCATATGGTATGCTCCAATTTAATACCATATGGTAAGAAAGCGTACCATGATGGTATGCACATACCAATATGGTAAGAAGGTTGAATACATGATAGTATGAGTATATTAACTGTCATTTACGACTTTTATCATTGTTTACTACAAGTTACCACAAGTTATCAATCACATACCATAATGGTAAAGTATGGTAATTTTTTATACATTATTTTTTTCACCCAGAAATTTATAGATCCAATAGATCATGATGAACTCGTTCCTTCTGAGCAAACGTTTTTAAAAAACGACTTAAAAATGAAGAAGTTACCATATGGTATGTAGTTGATAAAAAAAAAGTTTCTCGAAATATATTGAAAATTGATCTCATTTTGTAGAGCACAACGAACTCGTTCCATCTGTGCAAAAAAAAAATTGAAATCCGAGTTAGAACGAAGAAGATAAGAGCCAATTAAAAAACCTAGGAAAAATAAAATGCCTTTAATTGACAACTCATAGATATGAATTTTCTGGACCTACTTAAATCTAAAGTTCCTGACCCTAACCTAAGCCCCTTTCTTCTGCTTTTTTCGTTTGGTTTCAGACCGGGACGAGAGAGGACGAGAGAGAAGAGGGAATTGAGCGGCTGAAATGAGAATGGGGAGGCTAGGGTTTCTCCAAACGGGTAAATATACCCTCGATTGCAAAAGTACAAAATTACCCTCATGATTTTCGATTAATTACCCACTGCCACTCTGAGTTTGCTTCCGCGAAAATCCTAAAAAAATCACCTTCTCTGTGTCTCGAGCCCGAGGCCCAGAGCTCACCACTCGTCCCAAATCAATGCAACTAGCCACTAAGACATCCCATCATACGTGGAACTCTAGTCTCCTCATCTCAGTTTATTTATGTTTAAGCTTAATAGTCAATATTTGTATCAACTAATCGTGCTAACATTGTTGCTTTAACCAAATTATTTCGGCCTCTAAATATTTCAAAATATTAAAAAAAACTTGGTTACCATAATTGCTTTGGCTTCATTATTCATACACATACTCGTTCTACTTAGAAACTCTCTTAACACGAATCATGGTCAATAGACCATGATAGTCACTCTCGATGAAACCATTAAAAAATTATCTTACCACTCAACTACTAAGTTGAAACGTGATAAATATATTTCCTAACAATTCAAATTGTTATCTTAATGACGATCATTAGAACGTATTAAGATCACATCAAACCTCTCAATTACAATCGAACTACGTGGACTTTGATCCCGACTACTCGGGTACGCAGGCAACCAATAGGTTTCAAGTCCAACTAATCAAAAACTTTCTCCACATTTCAACGTGTGAGACTCAACATTTTAAAACCTCTCGATTTAAAACGAACTACGTGGACTTTGATCCCGACTAAGTCGGGTACGTAGGCAACCAATAGGTTCGAGTCCAACTAATCTAAAAAATATTTTTACGTCAACGTAAACATTATCAAGTAACTATAACAATTCAAAATTTACGCTAATCATATCGTCCAATTGAAATCTAAAAACTACACCCCGAATAATTAAAAATAATTCAATTTTACGATTAAATACACAATAAAGCCGCAAATAATAATACACCCAACCCTTAAAACCTTATCGATTTAAGTAGTACCAATTTTGGGCGTTGTGGGGTGTGAATACACTTCCCCACACGTAACCGTACTCCCGAACCCAAATATCTAAAATTCGCAAACCAGATTTCTGGTTTTAACCTAAATAACAAAACCAGAAAAGGGTGTTCGATCCACCCCACATCTAAGGTCGATGGCGACTCCGATAAGTTCGCAACGGATCTCCCGATCTCGAGGGGCGGTTGCGACAACTGGTACTTTGTGTTGCTGGGTTGATAGGGCGACAGAAAGCGACTGTATGGGTGATGGAGTAATGGAAGACAATGAGCAGCTGAAGTCGACATTGAAGGCATTTCAAGGGCGCTTCATAGGGTAGAAGAGAAGGCAAAGAAGAGGAAACAGGAGAAGTTGGTGATGCTTGCAGACTTGACGAAGGTTAGAGAGATCACTTCAGCTAGTTTTCTTGAATTGCAAAGTATGAAAATGTGATTTGTGCGCTACAAAGACGGCTAACCATCTGTGTAATATTTGTAGTCCTGGTCCTTTTTCATTTTGGTGCTTGTTCAATGGTAAGCTTGTTCAACTGTAAGCTTCATGTCTAATCTGTGTAGTCTTTGACGATTGCAATGAACTTATTTCGATTGAACATATCCAATTTATTCATTCACAACCATAAACTTATTGAACATTCAAACATGTTCAGACCATTTACAAAAGGGAGAATACCTACATATGAGCTAATGCTCTCATTACATACTTTAACTTAGACTCCAACTCGAACCTTATTTTAGGATTGGGAACATGTCCAGACCATGTACAAAAGGGAGAATCCTAACCCTGGAGTTGCTTTAAATCTGATCTCATGTCCTACAGATGTACAAAATGCAATTACAGACTTCTTCTTACACTCCAACGAATCACTAGGATCCGTAACATGCACATAGCAAGTACAAAAAGTGGAGTCCTATCTACTACCAAACATAGCTATCTACTTCCAAACATAGCTTCTTCTTGCTCCTTAAGGTGACTCTATTGATTAGTCAGAGGCTATGTGGTATTGACAGGAGGTAGGTTCGATTCTCTTGGTTGTACACCAGGTGCTGGAACTCTGTTACTAAGTTGCAGAACACAAGTTTCTTCATATTAGGAATAGAAACAGCAACAAGTTTTTACAAACGCTAAACACAATGAGATTAACATATACCCTTGCATACATGTTTCCAATCTCCATGTCAATATATGTTCCAATGTCTTGCATAGCTCTTCTAATTTCATGATCAGTTACCTTTCTACTGGACTAGCAAACATGGGGAGCCTACACGTTTATAGAGGACTAGCATTCATTCATTCCATGCATTGAATTCTCTATGCTCACATAGTTAAAAAAAAATGGTTACCTGGATTCCTACAATCAGTGAACAACATCTTGCATTATGGTGCTTAGACCCACATTTTGAGCAACACCCCTTCTTCCTTTTTCGTGGTTGTTGTAACATTTAACATGTCAAACATGTATCAAACATAACCAATAATTGTGATTGGTGATTGGGAGGGACTTTTTCGAGTTACCTTATTCTCCCTTCCGACTTTGTCATTTGATAAAGGAATAAGTGGCCTATGATTCGAGCATGCTTGCTTCTTCTTTGTAGGTGATGCAGTCTTTGGGGAAATAGGCGCATTCTTACATGTCCTCGCATTTTGGCCTTCTCCACAACATTTCCCAAAATGAACCATGAGGTTCTCCCGACTAGCAACCTCCACAATTCCATTTTTAGCTCGTCTGCTCCGGATCTCCCAAGCCTCCATTCTTCGTTTTGTCTTCGAACGATTAGGCACGAGCCTAATCCTAGGTGGGTAAAACTTGTTCCCAAATATGGGCATCCATACTTGCCGCCCTTCTGATGGTGGAATGGGATACTTGTATACCGATTTGATGAACTCCATCTTGAAGTAATCATCGACATAATTATCCGGTTTATGTCTCATGTGTGTGATGGATGCAAGAGCAACAAGGGATACTGTTGAGTGCCCACCAACCGCACATACATGTCTGGCTGTTCAAGTCAACCACAAAGCCCTTGCCATCGACAGATACCTCATGCAACGTATCCGATGAGGGACGACTAGTACACATTCTCGCTTCATGTTTTGCCTTCTCCAGTTTTCCTCTGACCATCAGAGGGAAAACATCCTTCCACCGATTCCTCATCCTTTTGTTGTTCACTAGTCGAATCATAACAGACACTCAAATCCCCTCCAACATTGCAATCGGTCTGACAGACCTAAATCGCAGTATCCACTTGCTCTCCACCGAGTCACTTTTGGAGAATG